AGAAGACTTTGTACAAAAAGGGATAATCTTACCGATATAGTTTATACAAAGCTTCCTGCTGTTAAAATGTTGAATCATCGAAACAGAAACAAAACTGAGCTCATAATTAAATTAGATTAGATCAAAATTAGAGTAGTGAGATAATTTATAAAACACGTACAGGTACGCATTCAAGCTGTGAGAACTAGAACTCGAATTGATCTCGATTTGACCTCAACACATATGTGTACAATGTGAGAATGTTTAACATTTCTTACATATTGGGATCAGTGGCGAGGCATAGGTCCAGACATTGAGGGGGGTAGTCGAGAGGGGAGGGGGGGGGGGCACCGGACTTATAGATGAATGACATTTAAAGGAACAAGGGGTGTGGAAGGGGTCTTAACATTAATTCTATTTTTTATTCTTTACACGTCTCCTTCCGTCCCTTACTTTTTCTTTTTCTTTCTTTCTCTTAAATCCCCAATCCCTTTCACCAATAATAGTGTATGTGTGTGTGTGGGCGGGGGGGGGGGGGGGGGGGTTGGAGATGAATAAGTACCCCGTGCCCCCATACCACCATAGCTACGCGCGATTAGTTGGTGTAGTCAGGGAGGTCTCCCTGGTGTCGTTTCATGTGTTCACACTCGGCGTGTATACGTCATGTCGATCAAACTGTTCTCTATTTTATCCAGAAATCTGTAATTCAAAACCGTTTGTAGAATCTATGCTTTCCTCAGCCAAAACATTTACAGTTGGAGTCAACACTTCCATGAACATGGGATGCCAATATAGAGGTCAGTGGGTACCCGATGACATGACCATGACCACTGCTTGTTAGTTAAACGAGTCCTTTTCGTTTAGAGCCTCCCGTTTCTTCATTCAGGAACGTCTGAAAATAGATAGGTGTTGACAGCCGTACGTAGAGATTGTTCACCTTGATTTTAAAGGTTTTTTTTTAGGTGATAACGATGTTCGTCAGTAAAATGTCATTAAAATGAAAATATTGTGAGAAAATTAGTGTAATATGATTTCTAAATTGCTGATTCGAACCAAATTATTGAAAGAAATTAGATCCATATGTTGATGCTAGGTCTTTTATAATGATAGTTTTATCAATAAATGGAAATGCACGTATCGGTAAGTTCATTGCCGTGCGACAAGATTTGTGTGTATAGAGATATGACTTTAATAGTATATTTAGAGAAAACAGTTCATATCTTTTAAAACTTTCTTCATAATATTTAAAAAGATAAGAAAAATGGAGGTGGAGTAACAGTTTTTTCTGCTTGAGTGTCAAGGGGTGGTAAGTGATGAGTAATTTTAAAAGGTTCTTGAGAACTTGCTTCATGTTTGGCTTTCAAATGTGTCATTTCCTGGGAAAATGGGCGGGATAGACATACGGGAAAGCTTCTATCTTTCCTCTTCATCCTCCTCGGGCACTGCCTTGCATCATCCCATAAACTTGGCTTACCTCTTAAATATGCTGACTTGAACAGCTAACCTTCTTGGGGGGGGGGCGGGTTTGTGTGAATCCGAGCCTCACCCCTTTATTCTCTGGTCATACATTGTGTTATGGTTGATTCGATATTATTATAGCGATTTAAACCTCAAACCTACTGAGTAGAAACGTCTTGTTCTGAATTGTTCTGAATTTCCTCCATTTTCTTAATACAAGTGTGTTTTCTATCTAATGATACTCTTTTGCTGGCTTCATGGCATTTTGTTAAACTCTCATCAGAAAAACGATTAGTAGAATTGGATTTCGAAATTATACGCGAGTAGAGTTTGTCTATAAAGGTATCAGTTTACCCTATTGTTAATTGCATATAATCCAATATTTATATGTCTCGCTTCTTACTTATGATTACAGCGAGGAAATAGATACTTTGTGGAGGAAACCAAATTTGTCGTTCATCAGTGTATCAGTTGCCAATTAGTGGTTTGGGAAATAGATAATAAAGATCACATTTGAAATAAGAAACAACCACGGTGACCCTTCCGAAGATCTTAGACTACTTCATTGGTTACCAATTGAAAAAAGAATAAGGTACAAAGTTGCCTCGTTTGTTTATAGCTGTACCAGGGAGGTACCTTGAATATTTGTATTCCTATCTACAATCACCCAGTTAGTCTACATACAGACTTCTTTCAACTACAGACACAACAGCCCTTCAAGTGCCTAGTATAAATTCAAAGATAGGAGATCGGATTATGCTGATTAGATTATTATGCTTATTAGGCTAATTATACTGCATATACATGGAATATCTTCTCATGAATTAATGATTAAAAAGTGATTGACAATGTTGCATTGCACCATGTTTAGGCTTTATAGATAAACAATGACAATGAAGTCCATACATTGTACATATGCTAATTATGCTATTTAAGACAATTGTATTACTTGGAATAAAAAACTGGTGTCATAAATGAATTCCTCGTCATAGAAAATCCTTGAAAAGTCGTATTATCCATGTTTAAGACTTCCTGGATTGAGATTAGCAACATTATTACATATTGCACATAATTATGCTAATTAGATGACTATGCTAATATGGCTATTAAAAAAGTTGCCCAAGGTTGCCAAGCTGGCAAACAAGCAAAAATGACTGAACTATTAATTGAATGCGGAATTAAACGATTAAAAAAAAGAAATTATATGTAAACACTTCAACTGATCTGCTATTACAAATCTCTCTCGACAGAATATTCCACAGCAAAGGCCCTGCCATGCATGAGCAAAGGTTCTCCCCCACTTAAAATAATATTGAGCTTAGGAAGAACAAGTAATCCGGAGTTCTGAGAGCGTAAATATCCGGATGATTTATTAAAGGAAACCTAACCCCAAAGAATAAGTGTAGGTATTCTAAAAAATGAGATGTATTCCTGACCTTCGATTGTACAATATTCCGAACGAAAATATACAAGAGGTATATAAATGTAGATATTCCTGGCATGATGTGATGCCTTTTAGCATGACATTGGCGCAGCCATTTTCTTGAAAATGTGACGTACCAGTTGAGCCAATAACGAAACCTTTACTTTTCAATGAGGAAAAATCATAACTGAGAAGATATGAGTTATATTTGGTGAAAAATAATAACAGGGGAAGAGCATCAACTTATTTATGCAATTTGCGTTCTGGCAATTGTAGTACAAAGGATAATACCAGGTGAATGAAATGTTTCATCACCACACATGTCTGGGAAAGAAGCATCCATTAATTTGAACACATTTACTTGATAAAAGACTTCGCATGCATCAGTACGTCACGTTATCAAGAAAATGGCGATGCCCATGTCGTGCTGAGAAACTACATTATTTTTGCTTTATACCTCTCTCATACATTTTGATGGGGAATCTTGTAGACTACTGGACAATAATATCATAGATCTCTCGGAATATTAAAGTAAAGTCATTTCTTGGGGTTCGGTTCTATTTAAAGTCATATTGTACTGTGGAGCAGAGTCATGGACACAGTGAAATGTAAACATACTAAAAAATCAACCTTCCAATCTATTTATTAGATAATGCGGTCAAAATGAACAGAATTCAACCTTATCTAAACGATGTAGATCAAGAGGAAACCATGCAGTTATGTCAATATTCCATTTAAACAAGCAATCATATTAAAGGCAAATCCAACCTTTGATAGCAAACTACACCAGAGGAAAGCAGCAAAATCGGAGAAGCAGTTTGGTGATAGTTTGAATTGGATTGGACAAAAAATAGAAAGTTATGAATGTTTAAAGTTGTAATCAATATACTCGGGATGGCCTTTTCTCTACAGAAGGCCTATATTAATATGTTATTCAAATATGTTTTGAGTAGTGCCCCAAAGGAGAAGGCACTAACATAAAGGAAAAATGAAATTAATGATAATTGTGTACAGGAAAAACAGGAGAGTTCAACGTCACATTCCAAAGACCAAGCTGCCAATTTGAGATTCGCATACACTTAGTGATCTCATATTTTAAACAGTCATAACTTTCTTAGTATTGTTCCAATTTATTTCAAACTTTTGCCACTCTGTTTCTCTTATTTTTCGGCTTTCATGCAAAAAGACTTCTTACAAGTGTGAGATTGCTCTTCAAGGATAGTAAATGCAAAAATAAATTATGTACTGAAACAATCATTTTATGCCAAATCCTTATTTTGTATTTGACTATGACTAATGATTCTTGATCAAGAAAAGGCTGTAGAAATAGAAGCAGCGACCATAATACAATTCCTCATTAATTAAAGCATAATCATAACTTGTTTGATAGTAATATACTATGCAATAGATCAAAATATACATTCAAAATCTCATGTTCTGTGACATGATAGTACTGTTTGAAGTAAAACAAAAATATTCTAGAGCAGCATCATCAAAATCAACATTGCTTCTAAACTGATATATTCTAGAGCAGCGTTTTCCAACCATTTGTTTTTTCAGTTACGGCACCTTTTTAAGAAATAAAAAAATGACGCGTCATCCCAATCCTAGATAGTATATACATCATAAAAAATGTAATTTTTATCACGCTGGTACTCATCAAGTACCATGTATACTTGTAAGGGCACTTATTGCATATAAATTTTGAGCGAGAGAAGCGAGCGAGACAAAAAATTACATTTTTTAATATGGTCGAAATATTATTTTGTCATTAAAACACACACATGGGAGCCGAATATATACATCAATACAAATATAACATATTCAGTCATCTCGATAAACAAATATGAAGATATTCGGGCATCTCGTTGCCCAGAATTATCCTCCTTCTAAATGCTGTGAGTGAATGAAGTGAGCAAGTGTAGTCGAAATGCAATGTGGATAATGTTCATGGAACAGAATCTCCTTGATGCCCCGCAATAAGGGAGTTTACAGATAGCAAATGACCCCAAATATCCACAGATCTTTTACACATGGAGTTCCACTTTGAGCATCTTAGAATAATAACTGCCAAAGTCCTAGATGTGCTGCATGAATACCTTTTGTTTGACCTCTTGAAAAGAATACTTCCACATGCGTATCATAGAATGTACCGTTGGTGCCTAAATGAATAATGTTACATAACTTTCATGAGCGCATATCCAGTATTTATCTATGTGGGTTGTACCATTTTTGTACAAACGACCTTTATCTGCCCATGCGCAGATTGTATCTGTAAACTCGCTTATATGGAGGACTTCAGGCACTTCTCGGCTTATAATTATCCTGTTTCTAAAATGTTGCAAGCGAGGAAGAAATGCGCTTGTAAATGTGATTTCCTCATGGAAATACGAAGCAGTTTCCACTGTTTTGGTTTCTCAAGACTGACTTTATTCCAAAATAATTTTAGTATTTTAAGTATACATTTTTCTCGCGGCACCCCTAGATATGTATTGCGGCATCCCGGCTGAAAAACGCTGTGCTAAAGTATCAACATATATATTCATGCTGCATCATGTACAATCATATTGTTCACTGAACCCTTGATTTATTACAGCGAGATGTTTCTGTTATGCAAAGGTTCATTAGCTTCTACGATAAGTATACAGAGCCACCCCTCCATCGCCTATCGTCTATTATATTAACCCCTTCATTTACAGTTACTCTATTTTGTCTAATATAAAGAGTTGCGTATTCACTGAAATAAATCCTTATGCATCGTAAACAAATATAGGGAAATCGTTTGTATCAATATTTTAATTCGATTTTTTTTTTCTACTAACTGTCTGCTTTTTATAGCAAAAGCTGATATGGCATAAAATCCTTTACTTTATTTTAAAATGAAATAGAAAAAAAAATGAACACTACCTAATTGTGGAAATGCATTTCTCAACTCTCCTTTGTGCTTCCAAAGATAATTACAAATAAGAATTGTCATCAATTTATAATTCTTATGATTCAATTGCCACCATCGCCATCTCATACCAATATTTTTCTCTACTTGGTTTTAGATCTAAAAGTTATTATTCTACTACAAGATGGTTTTAACTCTATAATAAGAGAGATTCCTGTCGATTCTTTGCACATGAGGTGATTTTAATTAGGGTAAATGAAGTTTGATAGGTTTAATGAGAGGGAGAGATAGGTCAGTGTATGGAGTGTGTAACCCTACTTTTCGGTACCCTAGGAGACGCATTGCCTCCGAACATTCGTCCTGGATAATCAATATCTCCTCACGCGTCAAACCTAGCCGCCATTTTGATGCAGTAGCTGTAGAGTTCTTCGTCATACTAAACAAGGGATGTTTGGATTTCTTCTCTTCGGCCTTGTCTTGTGTATTATTTTTTATCCAGTCCAGGACCTCGGAAGGTGTCGGCCGACCCAGGAAGCTGTAGATCTCTTGAGCAGTTGTCAGTGGCCTCTCTGCGAAGTCCTCGTATCGCATCAACATATAGTGCCCACGGAGCCATGTGGGTTTGGAGAGAGCTGTATACAGTGTCGTCGTTACCCAGGAGCAGAAGTTATGTGTTGTTTTGATCAAGTCTTGTAACATGACTCCTCTATCACTCCCGACAGGTTCCGACCCGTTTTGACTCTCGTTCAAGCTTTGAGGAATTGCATCATTCTTTCCCTTGGTTAAGAAATATTGTAGTCGAGAGTTGGCCGTGCCGCGTGGGTCCCGTACAAGGTGGATAACTCGGACATCCACTAGACTTTCCTCCATTAATGGTTTAAGGTGCATAAGATTGGCCCGAATAAGCTTTGAAGCTACATTGCCCTTGTAAGCTAAACATATTTGTTTATAGACCAGTGGCGAGAGTTCCGTACATATATCCCTTTGGCTGCAAAGTGGCATGAGAGCACGACTCTTGGTACGCCCTCCCCATGCTCCGTGGCTCTTGACAAAATCGTCTGAAAATTCGCATTGGCTAATATTACGTAATAATGACGTCATTAGAGGGTTAGTTTCAATCTTTGTTATACCTTCGCTCTCCCAATCATGAGCAACATGTAAAGGCTCATAAAGGTAGAAAAAGTCTTTATTTTGATTCAACATTTGCCCTACAACAGATGAACCAGTGCGCATCTGTGCTAGTATGACAACATATTGCGGCTGATATGCACAACCAATGTTCGGTTTCTTACCCTTCTCATAGTTTGTCAGAGGCTTCCGACGGATGGGTTCATTCCCGCGTTTTTTCTCGATCACTTTCGGCGCAGACAACACAGAACTGTAGGTATTCCACACATCATTTTCCACGATATTATCAACATCGTTAACTCTCACCCTATACGCAATGTCGCTGTCAGCAGCTGCGATGTAGAGATTGTTTCGCCTCGAATGAGATTGAGAGTGACGAGTCCTAGATTTATCCTTAGATGCACGAGCGTCCAATCTGTCCAGCTCTTGAAGAATGACCAATAATGACATTCCAGTGAAGCACACACATGTTAGAATCCTCATGCGGCTACGATAGCATGCCATGACGTCACGTGGAGAGTATAAAATCAATCAAAAAACATCACAACAGAGCAAGAACTATTGAGACGATTATAGTGTACAATGGCTTCATCAGTCGACTATAGGCGTTAGATCCAGGTTGATCAGGGTGGAATAAATTATAAATAAAACAAATTAACAATCCGCTGTATTTGGAACGTGCACCGATGTAAAATGTTGATGTTGAGTAATCCAGATTAAAATGATATCGGTTTATGAACGAAATCCTTATTTTGACGGAAACTTCTCGTCTTTGTTGTAGAAATATTGAATTATATTCCTTCTGAAAAGCAGGTTAATACACGCGTGACATGTCAAGAGAAAGGGAAGAGCTTCACGATCTCTGCCTGCACCCACAACCAAACGTCTCGCGCGATTATGAGCTCACTGTCAAAATCACTGCCGCTCAACGGCAAACAGTCTGACAATATGGACGGCACACAGTGCCATAAAGATCGAACTCCAGTAAGATTCGTCTGTTTTCGTCTCGATCTATCCTCCTAAAAAAGCGATCCTTATTTGATTGAAGACATTGTTGACTAGTCAGGAAGCGAGAAAAAACCACCCCCTCAATCGAATCATGAAATAAAAACAGTTATTGAACATTTTATGTGAACAAAAAGCAACTGTCTTCGTTCAGTCTACTTAAAATCTTTGATTTAGATTTGGGTTAGGTGTTTCTATCGAGGGGTAGTCAAATCGACATTTATGGCATCAGAATGCTGTCCATATGCACGTCCGTCTGAAGAGGCGCACGGCTCGCCCGAGTTTAAGGCCAAGCTAACTCGTATGTGATGAGTTCATATCTCGAAGCAGACGAAAAGAAAAGTGACACCGTTTTACTCATCCGTTCTCGTCTGCTGATTTGATTATAAACGGTCATAATAACAAGGTCTACCAGCTAACTAGCAACCGCGTGCTGATGGAGATCTGTCTAAAGAGGAGGCCATGTTCACGGTATATCACTCCATTGAAAATACAATGAACTTTGATACGATTCACAGAAAAACACCGGGGGCTTCAGGGGCCATAAAACATATGTCCCCCTTTTCAAAAAATGTAGCAAGGCTTTAAAATTAAATTTAGTGCAGAATAAAAATGATATGCCTCCCCCAACCCAAGAGTCGAATAAAATGTGATGCATGAATATTTTCGTTTTAGCTTGTCAGAATTTTGTTCGGAATTATGCCGCCCCTCCCATTTTGTTATAATTAATTTTAACAAAAATCTGGATCCGCCCTTAATTTTCTTCGCAGTGAACATCGAACATAAAGTAATATCAAAAATGGAAATGACTGAATTTAGATCGTCCGACCTGAATAGCAAGAATATATTGCTCGAAATATTAAAATGATGTCTTTGCCATGAATATGCTAGATGATATTGGATTGTGCAATCTAAGTTGGGTTGTTGCCTTAAAATTGTACGACGCCCACACTCAAGCTTCTGTCCCCTATTAAAGGCGGCTAACCCAATATTGATTGCAATATAAAAAAAGAACGAATGTACATTCAGAGTGCAATTTTTAGCCCATTCTATAACTTTCTGTAAATTTGTTCAAATCATGTGACCGTGGTAATTTTGTTGGTTATGCATGGGGTTTGAGTTATTAGCATTCGTTCAGCGCGTGCACTGAGAGCAAGCAAATTAGCGCGGGAAATTGAAAGCGGATATTGAGGATTTCTAACACACTTTACTCTTTTTTCCTTTTTCTAGAGCAGCCAAAATAAGAGGGTAACGATATAACGATTACACGCAGTTCTATGCTCATTTCGGTAAAAGTTTTTCCAATACATGTAATTCTATTTTTTTCCTGAAAAATTGAACAGCACATTAAACTGGAAATGAAACGATCGAGACGCAATTAAGAGTGTTCCCACGACACTTACGATGCTTACGATGCTTCAGATATTTTTGAGAGTGCCTGCATGGAACGTTTGTTGTTATAGCAGGAGTGGTTTAAGAAGAGTATTCATTTCTCTCTCTCTCTCTTTCTCTCTTTCTTTTGGGGAAGGGGGGGGGGGGGCTTGATGGGTGGCATCGGGTTATTGTATTCATTTTTACATGTTTTTCGGTTTAATTGATTCATAATCGAAAGTTTTGGGTTGGACTTACAAACATTTTTAGGGGCTTGATTCCCTCGCTCCCCTCCAGAACGGTTGTTGATCGCTAGATGTATGATAAAAGGTTGATAGTTCACTGAAATATTTGAAAAATGTTTTGAACGTGGGTTAAACATTTCAAAATAATCAACAACAACGACTAAAAAAGAAATGATAAAAGGGGCGCATTGATGCCCCCCCCCCTCTTAAAAAAAATCATTCTATTTCCAGAATTAGTATTTGAATGTCAGCTCTCCAACACTCACTCGCGCAGCGACCGTTTGGGGAAAGGGGCTAGACCTAGAATCCTTTTCCATCATTATTTTGTTCACTGTTCATTTAAAGTGGGTGTCATAGCTCTACAGTTCATCCCTTGAACGGAAATAAAATGTTAATCATGGCATAGTTACACATAGTTTATTCAAGCTGTCAACCAGCAAGTTTAGCTTACTATTTTGAGAATCATCGCAATTCATCTCCGTTAGAGATAAACATCTTTGTAAATTCGATATGAATCACGTCTGATTCCACCCTTCCATAAATGGAAGGCAGCTACACCTTGAGACCCTCTCAAACTGTTCCTGTAGGATGTTAAGAAATCCACGTACATATTAATACATACTACGTCATTAGGTCGGGCTAGATTTTCCATGTGGAGGGGAGGGGGAAAGGTAAGTAAAAACAAAAAAGCTTGCACATTTCCAAACTTATTTTACATTAATGTGACAGAAATTCAGCATTTTCACTTTTTTCGATTAATTAGGTGTTGTACTTTTGTTTTCATTAGTTTATTTATTTTATATATAATTTCTTTTTTTCGGGGGGGGGGGGTTGTATTTTAGGCCTTTTGTTTTTTAGTTATTTGTTATTTTTTTATTTTATTTAGCTTCTTCATTGAATGCAAAGGCATGAAAATGCAGTATTTAAGCGATGTAGTCATCAATTGGTTAATGCTACAGAGTACGTAGGCCTCTAATACAAAATTATCTGATTTAAACCGAATTCATAGTTGTAAATTAAAAGATTAGATATACTACTACTAAAGTCCGAGCCCCTCTGGGCTTTCGGCTTCTCTCTTAACTCTCATTAATTCTTGATCTTGTCTATCAATCCCGTAGGATGCTTACCAATCTGGCACTTCGATAGTTGCTAGTACAACACTCTGCTCACTTCTTTTCCAATGACTATTCTTCGTGACCTTCATTTCCTTGACTTGTGCCACCGTGATCTCTCCTCATTTAGTACCATAACTCTGTTCCTGACCCACGCGTTTGTTATCCTGTCCTTCCACTTGACCCTGAGAAATCTCCTCCAAAGCCATACTTCAAGGGCAATGATTCGCGTTATGTCTGATACCTTCAAAGTCCAACTTTCACATCCATATAGCGCCATGCTCCAGATGAGGGACTTTGCTAGTTGCTTAATCTTCAAACGGAGACTTACATCCTGGGACTTCCACAGGGGTGTGAGTTGTGCCGTTACTGCTGCTCGTTCCCTGATATCTGTCTCTGATCCTCCTCTGTTTGATATCACTGATACGATTTACTTGAGCTTTTCTGCGATCTCAATATTCTTGCCATTGAGCTACAGTTCCTGATCCCTTTTCCCCGTCCATTCATATATTTTGCTTGAATTTATTTTCAAACCAAAAAGTGTGCTCTCCCTTTTTAGTAAGTAAAATATTTCCTCCAGTTGGTATTTCGATTTGGTGATTATTTTTGTGTCGTCGGTGTATCTAAGGTTCCAGAAACTGATACCCCCGCACTGCTCTCCTATTCTGTCATCTGCGTTCCTCACAATTTTCTCTCCACTTACATTGAATAATATTGGAGATAACATGCCACCTTGTCGTACTCCTTTATCACGGCGAAAACTGTCCGTGTACTCCCCTTTCTAAACCCGTACCAGAACGGTTGTATTATCATACAGGGCCTATAGCTTCACGAGTGCCACAAGATGTTTTTTTTGTAACTACCACAGAGTATCATGCGCGACTGTACCAAAGACCTTTTTGTAGTCGACAAAGATCGGGGACCCACATGGTCTGGTCTTGCAGCTTTTCTCCATGATGTTCCTAAGACAAAGAATGGCGCTTACAGTATTCCGTTGCCTTCCACAAAGCCAAACTGCTAATCAGCTATATATTTCCTTTTGTGAAATAACAAATCCTCCTTCGTAGTTTCCAGTAAAATCTTAGACACATGTCTGATCAGGCTAATTGTCCGATGTTTATTGCAGGATTGAGTTCCGGCTACTTTTGGTATCTTCACCAGTTCTGAGGTGACCATTCGTATGGCCATCGTATGGCCATTTTCCAGATCTTGTTATAGCCTTTAGCGCTTTGACAGTTGTTTCCCCTCCAGCTTTTAGAATTTCTGCATGTACTCCATCTTATCCAGGTGATGTGTTGTTTTTGAGTTGCCTAATAGCTGACCAAATTCAACACACACAACAAAAATTACATGGTGAAAATATCGACTAATAGCGCATCGTTGGCATGTTTATGTCATAATTCTGAAACAGTGAATTGATAGTTATACTATGAAATATTAGGGAAAGGTGAAGAATTGTGCATAGAGTTATGAATTACGGTACATATTATATCATTATATCAATTGATAATGGCTGGCAGGGGTGTCGATTTGTACTTTCTTGGTTTGAAGACTATTTGCGTAATAGACATCAATATGTTATGTTTAAATCTACAACATCTAATATTTCCACCATAGAATGCGGAGTACCACAAGGCTCCATATTAGGTCCCCTACTGTTTTTAGTATATATGAATGATATTGTTAATGCATCACCACTCCTAACATATGTTCTGTTCGCAGACGATACCAACGTATTTTATTCGCATAAAGACTTAAACATTTTCATTACAACCCTCAATTTAGAATTAAATAAATTATCATCTTGGTTCAAATCCAATAAACTCTCTTTAAATATTAACAAGACTAATTGTATTTATTTCAAAAACATACACTCTAAACATGTACTTCATTATGATATTTTTTTATAGATGACATGTCCATAATTGAAAAAGAAGTTACAAAATTCTTAGGTGTAATGATCGATTCAAATATAACTTGGAATAGTCATATTAACACCATTTGCATGCTAGCCTCGAGAAGCATAGGCATTTTATATAAATTAAAATGTTATCTATCACAAAAGTCACTATTTATGCTTTACAATTCCTTCATTTTGTCATACATATCTTATTGTAACAAAGTGTGGAGTAATAGTAGTAAGATGAAAATTATGTTAATATATCGTCTCCAAAAGAAAGCACTTCGTCTTTGTACACATTCACATTATTTAGCCCATACTGATCCAATATTTTGTAAACTAAAAACATTAAAAATCGCTGACATTCACAGTTTTCAAACTGCAATCTTTATGTATAAATGTTGGATAAATACTATACCTTTGGCATTTCGAAATATTTTTGTTTAAAATAGTGATATACATTCTTATCCAACACGACACTCATCCGATTTCCACCTAACCAACCTCAAAATTAGTATGGCCTATAAATCGATAATACATCATGGTCCAGACATTTGGAATGCTTTACCTGACAATATTAAACACTCTGCAACTCTTTATTCATTCAAAGCA